AGTTAAAATTAAGAAATAATTATCATTAATGAGGGAAAATAAGTAAATAAACATTCTTTAGATGGTATAATTGTTCAAACACTATTCATTTAAAAAACTTGTTCATATGAATGAGGCCATGAGGGTATATATGTGAATAAATATTTTGAAGGGTATAATTGGCATAACACTATTCATAAGAGTAATCTTGTACTTTTTATAAGGTAGGGATAGGGATATGTGCATTAATATTCCACCAATTAGCCTAATTTAGTTTGGAGCAAATTGAATCTTTGTTTGTATGCCTTTTAAATCGCATGAAATACTTTTTGCTGTAAGAATCGAGTAGAGGCCAATACGGGGGAATGTGACTCCATGACTCACTTAGTACCATCATCCCCGGCCCGATCCTCCTTTTGTGGTTCTGAACCGTATAGAGTTAGTAATTTCATAGATTATAAATGGGGTGTAACCTTCACGGGTCAATCGTTGTTGCCTATAGCAATTGTGTATGCCTTAAATGATCCGTGAACAGTTTACAAGTTCCTTAAAAACTTGTTGGCGACTCCCTGCTTTATTTGTCCCTTATCATATAATGTCAAATCCCGCTTCCTATGTTTGTCAAGCATATTCACATATGCTTAAGTAGGTGCACTTCAATCAACGCTTACACATAGTTAACTAATAAGAATTGTTTTATTATTATTGTTTCTGTTTCTGTTATATTAGTTTTGTTATTATTGTTCTCATTATATTTAATTTATGTGCATTGATTAGTTTAGTTTAATTATGTGTTAGTAGTTTAAATCTAGGGTTCTTGGGTATCCATAATTAATATGAAGGGATAAATTATTATTGTTGGGTATTGTGGATGAAACTAAAGATGGGGTTAACGCCAAATTGGAGCAATAGAGGCAAAGGTTGGAATCTAGAGGGTTTAAGCTATGTCAGATTAAAACTGAATATTTGGTATGCCACTTTGATACACAGAGGGGTCAAGCGCTGATGTATTGAGCTTGGATGGAAAGGATTTGACCATAAGTGAATGTTTTAAAAATCTTGGGTTGATCATCTAGAAAAATGGGGACGTTAATCAAGACATGGCCTATAGGATTAAGTCGGGGTGGCTTAAATGGAGAGTGCGGCCATGAGAGTGTTATGTGATGGAAGCATCCCTTTACAGTTGAAGGGGAAGTTGTATAGGACTGCCAAAAGACCAATGTTGCTCTATGATACATAATGTTCGGCTTTTAAGATGGTGCACATTAAAAAGATGGAGGTTATGAAAATGCGCATGCATGTAAAGATGGATGTGCGGGAACACTCTAAGAGATAGAATCAGAAATGAGGTTATTCGCAAGAAAGTGGATGTCGCATGCATTGTAGAAAAACTAAGGGGAAAATCGCCTACGACTGTATGTTCGAGCATGTAAGACAAAGACCCGAGGGTGCATCGGTATGAAGAGTGGAAGAGTGGGATCATGGAGAGGTTAAACGAGGGAGAGGGAGACCAAAAATGACTTGGTTGGAAGGAGTTAGGATGGATATGAAGCATATGGATTTGCATGAGAATGAGGTATTTGATCGTAAGGGATGGAGGAGGAAGAATTTTGTGGATGACTATACGAAATATTCACTTTTGGTTCATGTAGCCGACTTGGCCTCACTTATGTGATTAAGGCTTTGATTGATTGATTGATTGTTGATGTTGCTTATTGATTTTCTATTGAATTGTTTTAATTCTATGCAGTTGGGTTATGAATCAAGCAAATGTAATTTGATTGCGACAATTATGCAAAATAGATTTTAAAAATCAAGCAAATGTAATTCGATATTAAAGGCTATTTTGAATAGGAGTTTTAGCAGATATAATAAATCGCGAGAGCTCTGTTAGTTCTAATTCTACGGTTAATAAATTGGAGAGCCTGTTAATTTGATTAATTATTGGAATATTGATTGTTGATAATTATATTTTTATCTCGGAGTATAAATTATTGGTGAACTTATACCCTGGGCCTTTTATTATTGATTATTTTGCTTAGTTTAATTCAAACAATACTCGTTTCTTGATAATTTAGATTAAATTAATTAATTAGGAATAGAATAATATTGTTGTGGATTCTACCCTACTTCCTTATCCATATTTTTTAGTGGACTATAGGATTACTTTGATCTGATGATACAACTTTAGCCTATCATGGGCTCTTGTAAACCTGTAGCTACTCAGTTGACACAAACTAAGTCTAAAACTTGGTGCAAATTGAGGACCACTTGTTTGGAATCCTACTTTGTAACGCAACTTAGCAGGTGCTCTTTAGTTTTCACTTTCACTAGGGCTGATATCGCCTATGCAGTATAACAGGTGTGTCTCTTTATTCATGATCATGGGGATCTCAATATGATGCATTGAAACACAATCTGCATTATGTTCAGGGTACCATAGATCATGGGTACGTTCATATCCATCTACAACTAGACTGATTACTTATACTCACGCTGAATAGGGATCGGTGGTTGTCCCGACACCCGTCACTCTATTTCGGGTTATTGTTGCTTCTTGGGGACAACCTCGTCTTCTGGTCATATAAGCGTCGTCAACCCAAGTTAACTCCATCGTTCGAGTGCAAAAGCAGAATATAGAGGCGTCGCAAATGTGGTCTCTAAGCCTTGTTGTCTTCCTAATTTCTTACTTGAGCTACATTGTCCTCTTCGTCAGGCTGCTACTGTTTATTTGTGATAATGTCAGGCGCTATCTATCTTTCTAACAATTCGGTTCAACACAACCGCACCAAACATATGGAGATGGATATTCATTTTGTTCAAGAAAAGATTGCTTTGGGTCATGTTCGAGTTCTACATGTTCCTACTAGATATCAGTTTGCAGACATTTTCACAAAAGGCCTTCCACGAGACTTATTTCTAGATTTCAAATCCACTCTTAGCGTACGACCTCCTCCCGTTATGACTGTGGGGGTGTGATAGATATTATATTATGATAATATCTGTCATAGATTTAGGATATATTTTGCATCCTTATCTTACTAGGTTTCCTAACGTGATTAAGGCTAGTCTTGTAAACACTATATATATGGTTCACACATATTGAGAAGTTTTCCCAAAATCTAACACTTAGGTCAAATAAGTTCAAAAAACAGTAATTTAGTTTCAGATAAATTTTTCGGGTGATATAAGCTTTTGACATCCCTAATAACATCAATTTTATATCAAGTGACAAACTTGTAATTAAGTGACGTCCATTTATGAGTATTTACCCCTTTAACATTTGTGATGACTAATGATGAGAAACGCCATGACATGAGTAAATACTTGTCAAAACTCAACGTGGAGGGTTGGTACAAGACGTAGCAATATGCAAAGTAAAAAAAATGTCCATTTGGGGAGTATTCAACTAAGACAAAACACACACGCCCTATGACACCAACGCAGTCGTTTGGAGCTAAGCACACCTTTGTTGAAGCATTCAAACCATTTTCCCTCAACTTCTCAAGTAGTTGAGATATCTACCTCCATGACAACTTTGTATTGTTGGTTTATCTTGTAATTAAATACTTATTTTATATCTTCAAAAAAAAAAAAAAAAAAAAAAAAAACTTATTTTATACTTTATTCTTTAATTTGCGTACCTAAATATTATTGCTCTGTCAAACAGCAAAGCTTTTTTCTGTATTTTTTATTACGTTTAATTATTTCTAATATAAATACTACTTCAACTAGATTGGATGTTTTTCTCCCATGTGAGAATAAGAGATAACTAGCATTAGTCAAATTCTTAATAATATAATCAAAATGTATCTGTCAAATCAATTTTCCACGTTAAGAGTTGCTTTCTTGTCATGTATTGAATAATAATAAATTCTTATAAATAATAGGATTTCTTGATTTTTTTTTAAGGTACCGAAAATAAAACATAACCTTTTGGGGGATATATATAAGCATTTCTACGTACTCCATCTATATTTTTCTGAATGATACCATTGTATGTCGGATTAGTTGCACCATCATTTTTTCTACATTTCAAAATACTTGGAACAGTTTTATAGAAAGAAGTGATCAATTACTTTTTCTCAATTACAACAGGAACACTTTCCTTCTTACTTATTGTAAAATACAGTCAAATTAAGCATATGAATAAAGTCGAAAGTCAAAATGTGTAAGGTGATATAAGATTGTAAAGAGCACTCGTAAAACTTTTAAAAAATTATATTTTAAAAATTAAAAATTTTATAAGTTTTCATTTGGCTGTATTTTTTTCATTTAACTTACAAATGAATGAATAAATGATGACCACTCTAGCTAACTTTGGTGCGAGATGGGCTCTTGAGGATGTGATGAATTTGTTTGTCTTTGGGCAATTTCCACAAAATATATTGATTTTAGCGGAAATTGATCTTTATTACTACGTAACATAATCCTAACCCTTTTTCCTAAAAAAATGATGACCAAAATAATACCAATATTTTTCGTTAACGAAGGTATCTATTTTTAATAGAAGTGGGAATTTTAAATTCGGGGTATCTAGTTTACATGAAGCTGTATTCCATCAGAAAAAAAAACATAAAAATTTGATGGGGTCTTTATGTAATCTGTTCATTATTCAGCTCGTCTTGTGTGCAGCTGGTCACACCGTGTGACCACTTGTAAAAAAATAAAGTAATCCTTTAACACTGATCGAGTAACCCATTTAATACTAACCGAGTAACTTCTATAACAATGATGAAGTAACTCTATATCACTGACTATAACATGAAAAAAGTAACCCCTATGATAGCTAATCATGCAGTGTGTCAAGCCACTTATATGAATTTGTGATTTTTTTAAGCAATCAAAATAAATACTAGTATTATTTATTCGTTGCAAGGAATATATTCCGTACTTCTAGTAAAAAAAATTAGAGGATGTATTTAATTATTTTTTAATAATTTGTACAAATAATTGAAGTCTTTAGAGATAAAATGGAGGTGTTTGACCTCAGCAACTTGACCAACATTTCATATAATTTTTTAATTCCTAGTTGGTTGTACAATGGGGTATGTAACCTTAGAAGAAGTCATAAACAGCTTTGTTGAATTGCACTGTTTTGAGGGAGAAGAGTTCTTAGATACTATTGTTCTAAAATGATGAATGAAATTTCTTAGTTTTTTTTTTTTCCTTAAGCTCAACGTTTTATTAGTTACTTTGTTTCATTAAAAATTCTTTGATTTTTTCAAGTGTTGAAGTGGTTCATTGCAAGAATATTTGGTAAATTCATAAAAATGGGAGTTTTGGGTTATCAAATGATGGGTTTAAGAGTTGTGTTAATTCTTGCCTTCGTTTGCATCAGAATTTTGGATATTGAAGCACAAACAAATACTCAAGATAGTAAGTTTTTATAATTGTATTTATCTTACAAAATGCTGTAATTTGTTTGTTACTTATAATATATTTGATTATTTACAATCTTCTGGTTTTAATATCAGTGTATAATTATTGCTTTTTGATGTGAATTTATGTAGATAGTTCAGAATCTTTAGTAAGTTGTTTCCAGAAGTATTTCTATAACGTGGTTTATCATTACCTTGTTGTCTAAGTATCTCGAATATAGGAAAAAGCAATTATGTCTCTTGACTTATTTCGAGCTTCTAAATATGCAAGCTTGTGTTCAATGGGGTTAATTGACCGCTTTTTTCTCAGATACGAGATGCCAAGATTGGAAGTGTTGATAGAAACTTGTATTCATTTCTTGTAGTGTATGCATCAATAGTGTAAACAATAATCTATTACGGATCTTGACTAATGTGATGTTTGGGAAGATTCATATATCCATCATACTATTGTTTTGTATGTGATTTATGATACATTAATACTTTAGTGTCTATGAATACATTCTATTGTAAGACACCATTAAAAAAAAGATTTGATTAAATTATTCATAGCATCAAGAGTCTTATGTGGCGGAAGGACTTGTGTCAGTGCTTGAGGCTTAGCCTTAGTTAAGCAGGAATGCAGGTTGTGTCAAGTCCAATGATTAACCGCTTGTCTGATGCATTTAGTATTCTAGTTTTATGTGATTGATCACTTATACAGAACAAATGGTATGCATCCTGCCAATTTCAAAAATAAATACTAGTATGAATCTTTAATTAGAATGTTATTATCATTTTGGAAGATCGCGGAGCTAGTATTCCTTATTTGTAGACTTTTTGGTATTCTTATCCAAACATTATTCAGTAAACTGGAATGTGATTTTAGATCATGTGCTAGATAATGAAATTTTTTATTACTTATCAAGTTTTTTAATTCGGTATATGTGCATGTTAACATTGTATACAGCAATAATATATAGGTACTTATCTAAACATCTCGTTTTTCAATATCTAAAATCTTTGAATGTTCATACAGCTGCTGCTTTGCAGGCTCTCACAAAAGACTGGGAAAATTTACCCCCAAATTGGTCTGGTGGAGATCCTTGCGGCAGTCAATGGGATGGAATTAGCTGTACTAATTCTCGTATTACTGAAATGTAAGTTGCAGTCCTAACTTCACAGACAGAGTCTGCATACCACTTTTTCTACTGTGGATGACCTTGAACATGGTCTTTGTTTGTTATAGAACATTGGCGAATATGGACTTGAAGGGTCAACTGACTGGAGATATTGCATTTTTATCAGCACTCCGAATTCTGTAGGTTTTCACAATCCACTTACCTCGTAAACATAGATATTATATGCCTTTGGGGCAGATAAACTTCATTGTAGCTTATATGCATATTAGTCGATTGGATTATTATAACTATGGATATAGAGTAAAATATGCCTTAGGGGCAGAGATACTTCATTGTAGCTTATATGCATATTAGACGATTGGATTATTATAACTATGGATATAGAGTAAAATATCTGTCTTCCTGATTATGCAAATATGTATATCAGTAAAATTTCATTTTTGCTAGATTTTCATTCATCTGTTCAACTTATTCAGGGATCTATCGTATAACAAAAGGCTTACAGGTCCTCTTCCTCCAAGTATTGGGCAACTGAAGGCGCTTACAAACTTGTGAGAAATATTGATAATTCTTTGAGAATCTTAACTTTTACAAATTGTATACTGTACTGTTGTTTCTTAATTACTAACTTGTGAACCTTTCCATTGAATGTGCCAGAATCCTTCTCGGTTGTGGTTTTAATGGAAGAATTCCCGACTCAGTGGGATCTCTAGAGCAGCTTGTATACCTGTAAGAATCTAACTGTTTCAGATGTTTAGCCTTTTAGATTAAGCTTGTCTTCTTCATTCTTATTTTTTGTAAAATTCTGAACAATTGAACATGGAATCTTTGTGCCTTGCAGATCTCTGAACGAAAACAAATTTACTGGTGAAATCCCAGCTTCTATTGGTAATTTGAAACATCTTTATTGGCTGGATCTTGCTGATAACCAGCTCACTGGAGGCGTTCCCGTTTCCAATGGGAGCACACCTGGACTCGATCTTTTAGTTAAAACAAAGCACTTGTATGTAATATAACTCCTTTCCCTCTCAGAGTTTCAGTGTTCATTTGTTGTTGAACAATTTCTAACTAGTTTGAACTTTTAACTTTTTTCAGTCATTTTGGAATGAATCGACTCTCAGGCACAATCCCGGCTAAACTTTTTAACTCTAGCATGACTCTGATACACGTGTAAGTGTTATTATAAGCTCCTACATCACTTTTATTTTTGTAGTGCTTAGTGCTTTTATAACTCTAACTTGGGTGAATACTTTGTTAAATTGCTGGAGTTTCACATTTTCTGCTTTGCATTCATATTGAAAGTTTGAGATAATTAGTAATGGAGAATATCCTGTGCAACTTGAAAATTGAACTTGAGATAAACAATTGAAACCTTTTCGATTTCCACTATATGCTGCAGATATGGTTGACCAGAACCATATACACAGACTTAACATTTCTGTGTGGATGTCTTTACATGATGATATCAGCCGGTCTTAAATTAGGGGATGGTGTCAAGTTATGCATACAGTATTGTCCCAGATTCCCAGTTTTAATTTTAATTGCTCCTCCTGAAACAATGATTATCGATGTTCAAGGACTATCAATTTCTCGATTCTTAATCATGCTGGTATTACATGTAATGGTGTTTTTCAATTATGCCGGATATAGATATAGTGATGACTTGAGTTCTAGAAGACACAACTACATGTTCTAGTAGCTTTTATAGACAAACACATCAATTTAACACTTCCATGATGTGAAGACCAGTTTATATTCTGACCAAAAAACAAAGGCCTGTTTATATGCAATTTGTATATAATGATTCTGCTAAAAAGTTACTTAACTGTTCTAGTCAATTTTACTGCCTCTTTCATTTTTCATGTTTTGTTTCAAAGCAGAGCTTTTCACTAATACTAGACATTAAACATTTTCAGGCTTTTTGACAACAATGATCTCACTGGAAACCTTCCTTCATCTCTAGGTCTTGTGAGCACATTGGAGGCTGTGTAAGTGCCAGACCAGTTAGAGTTGTTTTAATTATCTGATGCTTCATGTTTTTTAATAGTCTAATACACTTTTTGTACCAGGCGTTTTGATAGAAATTCATTGAGCGGCGATCTTCCAGCCACTATCGGCAACCTAACTAATGTTAATGAGCTGTAAGCAAATTATGAAAGCATGCCTGATCCTTTAGGCCTTCAATAACTTCTTTACCCAATCTTCATCCTCCTATAGCATTTTCCTTTAACAGATCTTTGGTTCTGCTATTTCAGGGTCCTATCCCACAATGCACTGACTGGTCCTATCCCTGATCTGTCTCGCATGCAAACTCTAAGTTTACTGTAAGTGTGAACTGAATAACATATTTTGACAGTTGTATGGGTTGAGAACAAATAGTGTTACTAAAATATTAAGTTCTCATTTCTTCTAGATCTTTACATGGTCTTTTAACATATCTTGCCTTGTTTTAGGGTTGGTTTGGCATTAGCTTAGCTCTTAAAATTGTTACTATGAGCAATATACAGAGCCTGCTTTTGCATTCGTAGCTTTCATTATCTCAATTTCAATGCTGTCGTAGTCTTTTACATTGAGTGTCAAATGTCATAAGGCTTATGTGTATATACTTCAATTCTTTGTAGTAGAGTTGCGATGTTATGGTCATAATTGACATAGGCTCTCATATGTGCTGGTTCAGTGTCAATGTTTTGTTCTTTTATCAGTGACCATTGACCATATGTGATTGTTTGGTATTCCTATGTATGGTGAATGATCAAATTGGCTTCTAGTTATCACATTGTACGTATTTCTTAGTCTTCGTAGTGCAGATTTACCTTTTTTCTTGTAATTCTTCATTTAATTATTCATGATATTTTGTAGCATAGTAGATTTTTATTTCAAAGAATTTTCTGCTTTATTAGCTGGTGATCCCCGAACCTAGTTAAAGTTTTTGCAAAGGAAAATGAAAATAGGCAGTAAAACTACTAGCTTTCATAATGATATGGTATCTTTTTTCTGTTTATACCTACAAAATGCAACAATATTTTGGCTCCAGTTAATGATTTTTTGTTGATTTTTTCTGATTTACAGGGACTTAAGTAATAATTCTTTTGATGCTGCAGAAGTTCCACAATGGATTTCATCCTTACAGTCTCTGACAACACTGTATGTTCTTTGCCTTCCTCTCTGCTTCTCAACTTGACATGTCAGGCTTACTATAGAAAGTTAGGGTTAATGACGGGTATAATGTATAGTTTTTAATACTGTTATTTGTTTTTAAGGATTTGACTCACATACAGCTGATTAGCTGACCATCTCAGCCATCATATGTCGTGTGATAGTGTTATTGTTGAGAGTATAGTCAAAATTTGATACAACAAAACATATACTCCTTTGTTCGATGACAGTCAATTGATAGTGGATTTAAAATTTGAATCTTGAGTCTAAGTACAGACAGATGTAAATGAAGATGACACTATATACACTTGTTCAGCCAAATTGAAGTATGGCTTGCTCGGCCTAGACCTACCCCATTGGCCATCTCTAATCATAATTTATTTAGAACCTGATATAATATGTATGGTAATCATAAGCTATAGCCTATAAGCATATGTCGACTCTCCTTGTGAAGACGTTTTGCTAACATTTTACTGGCAGAATGATTGATGGAGCAAAACTTGAAGGACCGCTTCCAGAAGAAATATTCAACATCCCTCAGTTACAGACTGTGTGAGTGTTAAGTTAACCTGAATCGTTTATAATAATTCGGTGTTATTGAAGGATAATGATGATTTATGCATAGCTGTTTTCTTATTGTTAATGACATACACTTCTATTTTAACTTTTTTTACAGGAGTATGAGGAACAACCAAATTAATGGCACTTTTAAAATTGGTGGCAACTACAGCAGAGAGTTGCAGCTCATTGATCTACAAAACAATTCCATAGAGGCAGCCACAGTGGCACCTCAACATAATTTCACATTGACGTAAGCTTTCTCAAACTATATAATTCCAAGGAAATTTTCGAGTTTTCAAAATTGGGAAATACATCTAGATAACTTATGCTCACCTCTTCACAAATCAGAGGAAATTGAAGAGTATGAAACCAAACCGAACCACAAATCGCAATAAACCATTTTAGCATGGCTAGCATTGTTTAGCATTCTGATTACTGTATTAAATTTTTGCAGGCTAGTTGATAATCCTTTTTGTAGTGGCGATGGAGAGCAATTCGTTTACTGCAAAAGTGATCAGGATACTGGATCGAGATATACAAGTCCAGCATCTTGTATTGTTCGTAGCTGTCCTTCTGAGAAAACTTTCAGCCCTGCCTGCAAATGTGCATATCCATTCACTGGAACTTTAAGATTCAGGGCTCCATCTTCCTTCGGAAACACAGATTATTTCAATGCTCTTCACAAAAATTTATTGGACACACTTGGTAAATATAGGCTGCCTGTAGAGTCTGTCGCACTTCAGGATGAAGGTGTTGATGTATTTGGCTACCTAAATGTGAAGATGCAAGTATTTCCACTTGGACAAGATTATTTCAATAGAACAGGAATTATCTCACTTGCATTTGTGTTCAGCAACCAGACTTACAAGCCACTTGACACGTATGGTCCCTATGTCTTTGCAGCTGATATCTACACACATTTTGACGGTGAAGAGCCTAACATAAATCTATGTTTTCTATTGTGATTTGTCATTGCTATCATCCTTTACACATCAATAGATTTCCTCTGACTTGAGACTTGCTGCATCTGCAGGAAAATCAGGAAACAACAGTCATACAGGGATCATTGTTGGCGCTGCTGTAGGAGCTTCCGTTCTATTGTTGCTATTGATTTGCGCAGGAGGCTATGCATTAAATCAAAAGAAAAGAGCAAAGAAGGCAAAGCAGGAATCCGATCCATTTGGTAGTTATCAGCTTTATCTAAATATGTGATTGTAAATTGAATTGTATATAGCTTTCTGATCAGATGTTCTTCGTTACAGTATCTTGGGACGCACATGGAGCTGGTGGTGACGTTCCTCAGCTAAAAGGAGCCAGGTTTTTCACATTTGAAGAGCTGCAGAAATGTACTCACAATTTCTCTGAAGCCAACAACATTGGTTCCGGAGGTTATGGAAAGGTTGTCTTTCACGCTATTGTTGACATGAATCATAATTTAGTTTTCTCTACCTTCATTTCTTATGTTGTTGTCTTGCTGCTAATGTCGTGAATTTTTTGTAACCCTTTTTAGTCTTGAAACAACTGATACCTTGTAATTGACCAATTAGTTGAAGGTTGAAATAGAATATTATGCAAAATGAATCCTATTAGTCTTGAAACAACTGATACCTTGTAATTGACCAATTAGTTTGAATTCTGCAGGTTTACAAAGGAATTCTTCCCGATGGCCAAATGATTGCTATCAAAAGATCTCAGCAAGGATCTATGCAAGGTAGTCGAGAGTTCAAAAATGAGGTAGAGCTTTTATCAAGGGTTCATCATAAGAATCTTGTGAAACTTATTGGATTCTGCTTCGACAAAGGAGAACAGACATTGGTTTATGAATTCATTCCAAATGGTACACTAATGGAAAGTCTTTCAGGTACCTTTCTTAACCTTTGAACTTCATGCAAGGCACCATGATTACTATGATGCCACTGTTCCATGTCACGATTTTAGATGTGTACGGAATTTTATTTGATATATGATTCTAAATTTGTCATCAACCAATGGTTATCCTTCGTGAATTTTATCAGATAATCATATGGTGCTTATTACATGTATGTGGTCATCTCTCATGATACAAGAATTGTTTGCGCAGGAAAGTCTGGTATTCAAATGGATTGGATAAGAAGGTTAATGGTAACCCTTGGCTCTGCTCGGGGTTTGCAATATCTACACGAGCTTGCTGATCCACCAATCATACACAGGGATATCAAGTCAAACAACATCCTACTTGATGAACGCCTGACTGCAAAAGTTGCTGACTTTGGTCTCTCCAAGCTGTTTGGTGACACTGATCAGAAGGGCTATGTTACTACCCAAGTCAAAGGAACAATGGTCAGTTTCGAATGCTCTTAGTTTTCATTCTTATGAAAATATCTTATAGCAGGCTTCCTATAAAATTTTGCTTTACTGCCATTTCTAAAAGCATGAATCGGTGTTTATAAACTTATGACATTGGATGGCATTAAAAATTAGGATCCCAGATCATCCGACTTTGGTCTTACCACCTGGTTTGAGCAAGTCCTAATGAACTTTTGCATTTTGGCTGCTTTTGTGAAATTGTTTTGCCTTGAACCACACTGGATGCATATGAAGAGCTATTATATTTGACTTCAGCTGTATTACATGTCTTACATAATTGTCTTGAAAACTCGGTATACTTAAACTATACTGAGAGTAGATCATTCAATGTGTTTCTGCTAGATTAGTTGCTTGTACTGCTGTTCCTGCTTGAACATGCAGTTACATTTTGCAAATCAAAATTTTATAGCAATTGACATGGGTCTTTCTTTCCTGGTGCAGGGATATTTGGATCCTGAATATTTCATGACTAATCAGTTGACTGAGAAAAGCGATATATTTAGCTTTGGGGTGGTTATGTTGGAAATGGTAACAGCAAGACAGCCAATACAAGACGGAAAATACATAGTGAGAGAGGTCAAAGAAGCAATGGACAGGAGTAAAGATTTATATAACCTTCATAGAGTAATGGACCCATTGCTTCTTACACATACAACTACACTAGTTGGTTTAGAGAAATTTGTGGATTTGGCATTGAAGTGTGTACAAGACGAAGGAACTAATAGGCCTACTATGGGTGAGGTTGTAAAAGAAATCGAGAATATTGTGAAGCTTGCAGGTATGAACCCGAATGCTGAATCTGCACCATCTTCACAGACTTACGACGGAGTCAGTGGAGGGAACTTTGGTCATCCTTACTCTGATAACTCACTCTTTCACTATAGTGGAAGCATTCCATTGACAAGGGCTGAGTGAGCCTATATGACAAAGAAGTGTGGATACTATTTTGATGGGTAACTCTGAATTACAGTGATGCGATGTGTTGTATACAATGTAAATGCCTTAATTTATCAACACCCAATTTTTGTTACTTTTTTTTTTCCTATTCATGTTGTAAACTTAGTTATTGTAGGCTCAATTTGTTGTGTAAGCGATTGGTTTTTTTGGATTGTTTTGGTGATGAATATTGATTGAAAATTAGATGAAAATATTGTTTGCCTATTAGATACAACATTGTAAATTGTAAAGAACCCCTTAAAGTTTAGAATGAGACATGATTGTTGATTTGTTGGCTATTTTATATAGTCCACGTTCCATGATATCACATGTTGTGAAAAGACTACGTATACATCTTATATTTTGAGCTGGTAGTATTTATATTGGTCGATTGAATTGAGCCTTGTATCCCACTAAATTTTAAATGAAAATCTTAACAAGTTTTGAATGTCAAATCAAACGTTTATAAATCTTTTTGTTTATTACATTATTTCAAGTTGCAATTATGTTGCTTCTCTCTCTCCTTCATTCTCCTTTCTTCTCTCTCTTCTCTAATGAACTCTTTTTAACTAATTTGATACACTCCTTACAATTTTCTCTCTTTAAATGATTGAATTATTCAAACTGACTCGACCTAAACTCAAGAGATGAGGATCAAGATCAACGATTCGCTCAATACAACCCATGAAAGAAGGAAATTCTCATAACAATAATTACTTAAATTATAAAGTAATTATATCTAATTAGAGATTAAGAGAGAGATTGAGAATAAAGCCCTGTTCACTTCACCTTAAAAAATAATAATCAGTAAAAATAAGTTCAGTTCAGTAAAATAAATTTCAGTTCAGTAAAAATAAGTTTAGTTCAGCAAAAATAATTTCAGTTCAGTAAAAATAATTTCAGCTCAGTAAGAATCAGTAAACTTAAAGAAGAAATATAATAGAAAATCTGTAAAAATAATTTCAGTTCAGCAAAAATAATTTCAGTTCAGTAAAATTAATTTCAGTTCAGTCAAAATAATTTAAGTTCAGCAAAAATAATTTCAATTCAGTAAAAATAATTTCAGTTCAGCAAAAATAAGGTGAAGTGAACAGACCTAAGGGGAAGTTTAAGTTCATTGCAAAGTTATAATAGAATTTGCTAACAACATAATAATTTTGTTTTTGACAAGAACAACATAAATTAAGCAACAAAATTTGCTTGAAATATTAAGGAGCTTGAGAATTTATCATGTACAGCTAAATGAATTCTTCCCCCATGAAATATTCTCTTCAGCTAACTCAATATTCTAGCAAATTCTACTCAAGTTATGGTTGAAAATTTCATCATCTCAAATATTTTTTATAAAATTTCTACCTATTTCTATTAATGTTATACCAATTTCTGTAAAGTTATGTCTATTAAGTTTAAGTTACTCTTAGACCCTGTTCACTTCACCTTATTTTTGCTAAACTGAAATTATTTTTAATGAACTGAAATTATTTGTATTGAACTTAAATTATTTTTACTGAAATGAAATTAATTTTACTGAATTGAAATTATATTTGCTGAACTGGAATTATTTTTACTGATTTTCTGTTATATTTCTTCATTAAAGTTACTGATATTTACTAAACTGAAATTATTTTTGCTGAACTGAAATTATTTTTACTGAATATTATTTATTTAAGATGAAGTGAACAAGACCTTAATCATCATGACAAAATTTAAATTCCTTCAATCCTTCTTAATTATATAGAAGTATTTCGTACTCCCTCCATCTCATTACACAATGTCTCTTTTCTTTTTCGGATAAACCAAAATACAATGCCTCTTTCTATTTAAAAGTTGTACCTTTTGACATTATTACCCTCTTTTTGATGAGTTCCCATCTTTTTTCCTTTTCTTTTTTGTACTTTTAACATCAATTTCCAACAATTTCTCTCTCTATCTCTTCAATTATTCTCAACTACATATGTATTCTAATCATTAGTTTTAAAAAATTTACAACTTTCTTAATTCCCGCGTAAAAACCCAAAGAGGCATTGCAGGGCCGTAACAAGGCCAGGGCGGGGCGACTGCCTTGGGCCCTCGGACTAGAAACTTCAGTATATTTCAAGGCCCTAAAATAAATATTTATATAAAAAATAAAAAAATAAAGAAAAATTAAAAAACGTGTACAGCAAAACATGTCAACAGTACAATTGCATTTCAGAATATCAAACGCCATTATTTTGGCTATTCAACCTCCTTCCTCCTTAATTTTTCTCCCAAGATATTCACTTTCCTGAGTGAATTTGATTAACCCTTAAAAAAAAACTGTAATTACTTTAATTCTATCCCCTTCTTTTAGTAATTTTATTTTCCAAAATGTATCTCTTTTCAATTTACAGTCAAATTGATTCTTCTCTGGTGATTATGGTAAATGGTAATTTTACCCTTCAATTTTCAACGGAAATTCATCTAATTATATATAATCTTCTTTGTATAACCTACTTTATTCATCAAAATCTCTTCTTTCTATTATTTTTTTTCTTAATATGTGCAATTACTTTCATTCAAGATAATCAAGAATTATAAATTTGGGGGGGAAAAAATCTAATTGATTGATTGGTTACTTGGCTAGAATGGTTCGTTTGATCTATTATATTATTCTAATTGCTTCAACGAGAGTCACAGGAATTGCTTGTTTGTTACTTTCATGATTTCATCAAAATGTTACTGCCTACTTACTGTCATTCAAGAAAAATATGATATTAATGTTGAAACCATTATTATTGACTTTAACTTTATAAATGCTCGTAGAAATATTTTCATATGAATGCTTTTGATTTCAATGTTTTATATATATGAAATTTGATGTTTTTAAAGATTATTATGCGTAATTTTTTTGTTTTGCATACTCATTTTTTAATTTTATTTTATGATACTCTATGTGAATTAGGGCCCAATTTATGTCTTCGTCCTAGGCCACCGAAATCTTAGAAATTGGCTTGGGCATTGTATTATGAGACGGAGGGAGTACTTTGTTAAATTTACAACTTAGTAAAAAAATTGTAAAAATTATCCCTATAACATTAAAAATACCTATTTTATAAGAAAATTTCTCAACTAATGTAAACCTGTAGCTGTATGCAATATGTACTGTCTGTAACTAATTCTAAAGTAGCAACCGCTGACATCATTCTAGTTTAAAACTAGACACATGTCATGTTGTCATTAAAATTTTTCCCTTCAAAAATATAAATGGTGTCATCGTTTTATGATTTTTATTTTATTTTATTAAAATTCTGGTCAATAACATTATTATTAGTATCAAATTCCGAAAAATGGTCTATTCTCTTTAACAATAATAATTTACTTTGTCTTTCTTGAATGCTCTTTCATCATTCAATTTTTCAACGAGCTTTATTTTTTATTTTTAATATTTAATGTTTTATTTATTTTGGGAATATTTTTGTTTTTAATTTTGATATGAAAAAATAAAAAAGTTAAAAAAATTTATTTGATCAAATCGTGCATCGCACGAGACTAATCTATTTCTCTAATTTAAGTTTAACCAAACAATTAAACAAGGCATCGCACTTAGCCTTTCATCACTTGCTCTAAAGTCTCTCCTCCATTTCTCCCCATGTCATGTCTTTCACCAAAGCAAAAACCTGGAAATCAAACAACCCATTTTCCCCAAATTCATCCCTCAAAACCCTCAAATCCCACCTGTTTGGGTCCAATTCAGTCAATACTAATTGAGCCGACCCAAATGATTTAATTACAAAAGCCTAAAAGCAAGGTTTCTAAAAGCATGCTAAGGTAGCCAAGCCTAGTCAACAAGGCAAATCCATTTGACCTCAAGGGCCCAGTTCTCCTGTATTGAGTAAAGGTATAAAAGCCATCAATTATCTCTCTTACATACATTCACAATCAGCCTCAAACAATTAATTCTCTTGTATAACATTTACTCTCAATACACTTAACTGACTTTAGCATCGGAGGGGTCTTCCTTGGCAACCACCCTCGAGACTAGTTTACGTGTACTTTGTTGTGTAGGAAATCTTCGGCCCATTCATCAATTGGTCCGAGATCAGTCTTCTCCCTTGAAAAGGGCCTGCCGAACAGTCTTCTCCCTTAAAAAGGGCATGCCAAAAGCACTATTGTTTTCATATCGAAACACCACCTTTAAGGCTTTACCAATACCCAATTATAAGGTATTGTCCTTGAGAAAATGGCGCCCTTTGGCGGGTTCTCGGGGCTCCTCCCCAAATTATTATTTGGGGTTGGCATAGTTTGGGAAATTTCAAGGGTTTTGTTGGCTGATTCTAAGGTTAATGGATGAATGTTTGTTGGTTTATGTGGCTCAATTAATCAGACTTCATTGGTGGTTGTCTACTAATTTGTCTGACGCTTTTGTTATGTCTGATTTAGCTATTGCTGGTCCATGTAAGTCTTCTCTTTTTTGTTTCTTTATATATTACTATTTGCCTGTCAAACTACGTTATTTTATCTAATTTTTGCTAAGAAGTAGTCACTTGCAAGTACGGGATAATTGGGGGGATCCTACATTCCCACCTAATACTGGGTCAAACTCCTCTCACACGGTGGAAAGAGACCTCTAGCCACTAGGCCTAATTATGTACCGGTTAAATTCTAACACTAGATCAAACTATTTGTCGGCTGTTGCCACTGCCGGTCTTTGTCTCTAAAAGAACGACCCAATTGAACATTTTCACGGGCATAAGAAACTTAAATGAGAAGTAAAAGTGTATGGGGAAGCTATTAAAAATCCATAGGTAAATTTACATGGGAATAAAAATACATGGAAAAAGCAAAATTTATATTTAGAAGCTAATTTTGCACAATTATTATGGTAAATTAGAGGGTATTTTAATACAAATGGGATGAACATTTCTAAAATTTGACCAAATAGGTCATTATTTTAGGAACGGAGGAGTAACACTAGACCAAACTATGTGCCTTTCTAGGGAATAATACCAAATTTTCTATTTAGGTTGATGAATCCTCCCACATATAATTTTTCTAATGTATACTTTACAATTTACAAAGATTAGTTTTAAGGAGATTTGGTGAATAGTGTAGCACTAGAAATGAAGCAATTATTTGAAAATGGAGGAAGTGTAATACTCCTTTCGTTTTTTTAGTGTTACATTTCCTTTAATTACTCACATAATAGCATTGACTTGATTCATTTACTAATAAATAAAAAAACAAACGATATTGTATAATATGCTGTTGGATTAATCAACTCATGAACTTTCATAATACCAAATTTTCATACTTTTTAGAAAAATTAATGGTCAAAGTCGGTGTCTTTAACCTGCATACTGAGTCAAATTATAACGCAACAAAAAAAACGAAGGAAGTATTTCCATATGGAGTAAACCTGGGCACGGGCCGGGTTGGCCCGCGTGCCGCCCGGCACGGCCCGCCGTTCGGCGCAGCCCGGCACGACCCGAATTCAAGCACGGCACGGCACGAAGTTCAACTCCCGTGCCACGGGCCGTGCCACGGACAGGGTTGAGAATTCCCAGGCACGGCTCAGCACGAGCACGGGCATGGCCCGCCGTGCTGGCACGCAGGCACGGCCCGTAGGCACGGCCCGCGGGCCAACGGTAATGTTACCGTTTATTCTAGCTCCATAATAAGCAAAAAAAACGGCTAGTTTTTTGCCAATTTGCTCCCCAAAAATTCTATAAATACTCACCTCCATTTCATTCCCAAATCACAATCTCTTCTTCTTATCTCTTATATTCTCTAAATCTCTAATAATCCTTATTTTCTTAAATTCTCTAATTATTCTCTTAAATTCTCTAATTATTTTCCTAATATCGGAAAAAATTAAAAAGTTCGTAATCGTAATTAGTGGAGCGTTGAAGCACGGTTGTAAGATCTAAACTAATCTTAAATTTATTATTGTTTTATTGTTATTATTAGAATAATCTTGTTTAATTATTATTGTTGTTAATTGTTATTGTTGTTGTTATAATTGTTGTTATTAATTATTATTATTGTTACAATTGTTGTTATTATTTATTTTTGTTGTTATTGTTATTGTTATAGTTGTTGTTATTAATTAATATTATTGATATTTTTATTGTTAAAATTGTTGTTATTAATTATTATTATTATTATAGTTAACCACTTTTTATTAAAAAATTAATTGTTAATTATGGCATCGAACAACCCATCATCTAGGTCTAGGGGGAAAGGCCGACTTATCCGTAGTAGTAGTTCTAGGGAACCACCAAATACAACGAGCCCCCAAATTACGAGTCAAACCAATGACCCCATTTACTTCCCCCCGGGCTATGAGCCATATAATACGTCGGGATTTCCAGCACCACCACTAAACCAATTTCCACTACCACCATACCAATTTCCACCTAATTATATCGGTGATCAACAAAACTATTGTTCTAGCCAAGGTAGCCAAGAAAGTACTCGAATTCCCTTCGGTTCTACCCCTTCTACTGCCACTCCCACTGGTCCCACTACTAACCATCACACACATCATGAATGGTTAACCGAAACTGAGATGCTACTTTTGAAAAACCGAAGGAGTGAGGTATGGCGTTATTTTGTCCTAAGTAAAGATGGTGAACAATGGGCAAAATGTAAAACATGTAATAGTGTATTCACGGCAGTTACCAAAAACGGGACGGGACACTTATCTAGACACATGAAAGCTTGTGCAAAACCAGCTAGTGATCCAACCCAGCCCAAAATTTCCCAATTCCATCCATACGGCTTTACATACAACTATGAGAGGGATAGGGATGAACTAGGAAAAATGATAGTACACGCCGAACAACCTTTTCTTTTCTCGGAAAGTGACGCATTCAACACCTACATTAACAAAGCACTACAACCCCAACATAAAAGAATCTCTAGGAAAACTGTTCGTTCCGCCGCAATGAAAAATTTCCTAGAGTACAAAGTCCGGTTACAAGCCGAATTGAGTAACCTTAACTGTAGAGTATCTTTAACAGCCGATTCTTGGGATAGTGGTTATAAATATCACTATTTATGTGTGACTTGCCATTGGGTAGATGATCAATGGATGTTACAAAAAAGAATAATACATTTCAAAATGCTGGAATACCCACACACCGGCATTAACATTGCTCACCATTTAATGCAAGCAATAGACGAATACAACCTTCGAGATAAAATGATGTCTATGACTTTTGATAATGCAACCTCTATGACATACACAACTAATCTTATCAAACAAAACTTAACCGATGTACTATTAGACGGTGAAGCTCTTCATACTAGATGTGTTTGCCATGTACTTAACTTATGTGTACAGGATGGAGTTCGGGCAATTGGCCCATACTACAGCAAAATCAGAGATGCTATTATGTCTATTAATAGCTCTAACATGAGATACCAAGAATGGAAGAGTTTTCTAAAACAACAAAAGATAAGGGTAATAAAAATTAGAACCGATTGCCCAACTAGGTGGAATTCCACCTATGACATGTTAACAAAGGCACTTGAGTACAAGGGCCCGTTAACATTATTTTACAACCAAAAATTTCCACAAAATGCTTTGTATGATGATGATTGGAAAAACTGTGAAAGATATATGCAATTTTTACAGTTATTATATAACATGACGTATTGTTTTTCTACTGTTTACAATCCTTGTGCTCAAAACATTCTTTCTAATGCATGCTTACTCGCCCAACTTTTCGCTGATCATCGCCATCAAAGTGATTATGATCAGTACCTTCCAGCAATGGAAAAAAAGTGGCGTAAATATTATAGTGAGATTCCTTTGATTTATATTTTTGCTTCCATATTAGATCCTAGGCAAAAGTATGAAAACACATTTATGTTAGTTGACATTTACTTTCAATGCATGTTTCTTGACAATGATGTAGAAAACTATAAGACTAATGTGAAGGATCAGTTTTTTGCTTTATATAGAGTCTATGAAGCCAAATATGACACCGTTCCTCGCTCAGGGCCTTCCCAACCATCCAAAAACGTAAGTAAGAAGGCCAAACATTTATTTTCACAAGCTACTAACTTGATTTCAAGGTTTTCAGGTGATTCATCAATCAGGAGAACGCAAAGCGACGTCTCGGAGTTGCAGATGTACCTCAGTTACGACTTCACCAAAGGCATGGACGACGATGAGATAAACAGCCTCGACCTCCTTGCATGGTGGAAACAACAAAGCTCGAAGCATCCAACTTTGGTGGCAATGGCACGAGACATTCTTGCTATCCAAGTTTCCTCCGTCGCCTCCGAACGAGCTTTCAGCGCATCCGGAAGGGTTTTAGACGATAGAAGAACAAGTCTAAAACCCGAAACACTAGAAATGTGCGTGTGTTTCAAAGATTGGTTGGATGCGGAAAATCGCTCACAAGACCGTTCTTACGATCACAACGACAACGAAGAAGAAACCTCCGCTTCCGGTTCGGGTTCGGCTAGTTCCCAATCTATGCAACTAGCCGATGACCTTGAAGGCGAAGGCGAAGACGAAGACGAAGACGAAGACGAATAGCAGTCAAGTGTGCCCAAACAATTCCTGTCACATACGAGAAACTTAATTGATGGCAACTTCTGGGACCCAGATTATTGAATATTCAACTGTACTCTGACTCTTCTCTTCTTTTATTTCTGTTTATTATTAAATAATCATGATATCTCAGCCCAACTTTATCTACAAAACTTGTGTCACTTAACTTCAGCTTGGCAAGTTGAGTTCAGTTGCTCTCTTGCTCATTTATGGTGAATGAATATTATTGGGTTTTTATTGCAGCAATCAGTTGTTAGAAATTGACTAGAGCTTTTTTTTATTTTTGTAAAGTTTCTAAAGATAGGTTTTCATTGCAATTTGTTGTTCTAATCTTTTAGAAATGAGAATTCTTGGTAGTGGAATGAGAATAGTCCTATTTGTAGCATTCATTTGCAGTCATGTTTTTGGTACATTAGCACAGACCAATTTCCAAGATGGTAAGTGTTCATAGTTTATGTTCAATCTTTATTAATTTATAGTTTTACAGTTTTACTGTTGTGCAGTTTTTATTTATTAGTTTAAGTAGTCTGTATATTTCTTATTGAAATTCTTGGTTTATGATGTTGAATGATTTCAAATTGAGGATTCGAGTTAATATTAAATACCTATAAAATGGGGTTACATTTAAGTGGTTTGTTATTTTTGATTGACATACCCAATTCATTGTGTGTGTCTTTTTCATGGGTATAAGTATGCTAAAGAAGAACACTTATGACCTGTTTGATATATCTTACTAAATGACCATATTGGTAATAAGCTAGTGTTTAATTTTTAATTAGTCCATTGGAACCCTTTTCAATCTCCTGGTATGCATTATTCTCCACAAATTTATATCCTTAGTACTGTATCTAAAAGGGTGATTAGTGCCTTTAGTGGAACAGAAACTGAAAATTAAGCAGAATAACGAAGTAACGAGGAAAATATGCAATACCATGAGCACTGACACAAAATTTACTCACACATCCAAAATCATTTTTGCCTACTAAATGAGCTATTAATGGCTAATAGTTTTCATTACCAAACAAGTAAGATTGGAAGATCTTAAAATTCATTGTGTAATCAGTCATCAGGAATTCTGTAGCAAATTCATAAATCATATGCCATTCCACTTTGGAATTAAGGCTTCAGTCAGATGTGGTCTGGACTCTGGATTATTTGCTTTTCTCTGGCAATACTCATATTTATTTACCTTAAGTGGATTGGTGGTTTTGTACCAACCTGGCCTTTGAACACTAAAGCACAAATTATTGGTTCAGCTGCTGTTTTGAAGGCCCTCACAACTGGCTGGGAGAATTTACCGCAGAGCTGGAATGGTGAAGACCCTTGTGGCAGAAGATGGGAAGGAGTTATCTGCAGCAATTCCCGTATAATTTCAATGTAAGTTGTGATCTGTAGTTCTAAGTCACAGTTTGATATATATTTTCTGGAGTAATAACCTCACTAAAAATTAACTTTTCCATGATGTTTGGTTGTGCTTCAGAAAATTAGCAAGTATGGGTTTGACGGGTCAGCTCACTGGAGATTTGACATCTTTGTCTCAACTGCAGATTCTGTAGGTTTTTTCTTTCTATTTTATTTTTATTTTTTATAATCATTTAATCTGAAAATTTTACAGTAGTTGTTTTAAATATGACTACCATATATATCATTAAAATAATATGGTAGTTATTTTTCAAACGACCGCTGTAAAATCATCCCATTAATCACATATACAAATAATGCTTCAGAAATATGCACCCATCAGATCCTTTTTTTTAGGTTACGTTTAGTTCAGCTTATTTAAGCAGATATTTGATTATTTCAGAATGATCAAATAAGATTAGACCAGACTAGATTCAATATTTGCTATTTGTGATAATTTATTGCTATGTATCTATTAATCTGTAGTAAAAAAAAATTGTGAAAATTTCATATTTGGAAAGTATGCATTAATACGAATCTAGTGACATCTTTTTTGATAATTATTTTAAGGATTAGTGTATAAATAAGGTCAAATTTTAGTCAAATATAAAAGTCAGATCAAATCATTAAAAGTCATATCAGATTAGGTGAGGTGAACTGAACATAGCCTTTGTTAGAGGTATGAAACATTGTAATTTTTTGTATGTAATCTTTTGTCAATAGATAGGATTTTATTTGTCATGGTGAAATTCTAATTTATTCTATCTAACTTTTGCAGCGATCTATCCTACAATGAAGGGCTTATTGGTTCTCTTCCATACAATATCGGAGATCTGTCAAATCTTAATACCTTGTAAGAAACTTTTAGTAATTCTTTGAGAGACTTATTAAGTTATTGTGCGCAACTAACACTTGTGCTTTATACTAACTAGAACCTATTTACTTTTTGGATATTTTGTGAGGGCTCTGGTTTGAATTGATTCACAGTGCACCTATTAGTCTCTACTTTATGCACCATGTAACCATGAATCTTACAATGATAGTCAACAACCACATTTGCACATGTTGGATAAATCTATAACACAAGGAAGAAATGTTTACATGTTGAATTACTGTAATGTTTTGGGTGTGATGGTGCCCAAAATTGGAACCAAATGATGCATGTAAATTAAGTCAAGTGACATTGGCACCTCATGAAAAATCCCCCTTTCTCTTTTTTCCTTATTTGCAAGAATCCTTTTTGGTTGTGGCTTTTCCGGAAGAATTCCTGATTCAGTGGGATCGCTCAAGAAACTTGTCTATTTGTAAGAATCTTACACATATTCTCTAAATTCTGTGTAATCCAATACTTAACTTTTCTCTAATCTCTTCCCTTTACATAAGCTTAGCCTTTGAAGCTTTTTTAAGCCCAATTTTGAATCTTGCAGATCTCTAAATTCTAACCAATTTACTGGAGAATTACCAGCTTCTATTGGTAATTTGAAACACTTATATTGGTTAGATATGTCTGATAATCAGCTCACTGGAAGCATTCCTGTTTCTGATGGAAGCAAACCTGGGCTCGATATGCTAGTTCATACAAAGCACTTGTATGTACTTATTTTTTTGTAACCTTAATGTAGTACTTATATTAGTTTTTCTTATGATATCCGCATGTTGATTAATTTGTTACTGGTGTTAAATCTTTTCAGCCACTTTGGAAAGAATCGATTCTCTGGAGAAATCCCGCGTAATCTTTTTAATTCTGACATGAAACTGATACATGTGTAAGTGCTGTTATAATTTGGTGTTTTATCCGTGCATTAATGGCCTGTTTGATAGGCAGTGATAAATGAAGATAATGGTTATGTTGTGTTTTTATGTAGAACATTATCTAGTAAGTGACATGATAATGCATCACCTTCAAGTATTTGAAATTTATATGGCAAAACACATACATATGGTAAATATGGACTTTGACATTTGAATTTCCTTGAGAAATACGAGTTTATATAAACCAATCCACGTATCCACCATGCATTGCTAATGGAGCTGTAAGATAGAATGTTAAATAGATCATACACGAAAATGCTACAGCTTACTGCATCTTGTGACCACATATTCCAAAAAGGCCTAAGGGGGAATCCACTATAACCTCTACGATTTCAGAGAAATTGTATCAAGACCTTACTAAATGGGAATTGGATCCAAGATATCATTTCAATGCAATTGTCTCCCAGTTAATTCAAATAACAGCTGCAAGCAATATTTGTGAAAGCTATTTTATTGCCTCAAATGGCATCTTAAGACTATAATTGCCTTAATTGTGCACACATTCTAAAATTTTCATCTTTAATGATTCTTGGTTGGTAAATATGAGAAAGCATAATATCTGAATCCTTAAGTGTCCAAACAATCTGAAAGGGAACTGTTCTCTCCAATGAATTACTAAATGAGTAAATTAAGGGTTAATCGTCCTAGATAAAGATTCTACTACAAACATGCTTATATTATTTTATTTATTTAGACTCCTGCTACAAATTTGCTCTCTTCTACTCCCCCTTTTCTATCAATTGCAAAAGTAGCGTATGCACAAAGTAAGTAGAATGATATGTTGGTGACCAAAGTGGAATTGTTTCAATTAATCAGAAATAGGAGTGTTTATTCATCCTTGCTTGTCTTCTCTTGGTACCGACTTTCTTCACTTATTGTGCATGCATTGTAATTCTTAATATAAATTGCATGTTATCTTTGCAAAAGTAACAAAAGTGCAACTGAATTCCCATTTATTTTAGTTAATCTCTTTTTGTTTTTGTTGATTTCTTTTTTAATACTTTATTTATTAATAGCCTGTAATTTTTGATGTTTAATAACAGGCTTTTTGACAACAATAACCTCACAGGAAGCATTCCTGAATCATTAGGTCTTGTCCAGTCGTTGGAGGCAGTGTGAGTAGAATGGGTTGAGGCTGATAATTATCGAATTCTAATGTATCATTGTTTAATAATATCTTTTCTGTATTAGTCGCTTTGACAGGAATTTATTGAGTGGCGATCTTCCACCCAATCTCAACAACCTTACTCGAGTCACCGAGCTGTAAGTGAATGAAATTTCAAAATCTTCAGTTTTTTACATTTTCTATACAAAGGCAATTTGTTGTAAGTGATCTTTAAATTGTGTAATTTCAGGGATTTGTCTCAAAATGCGCTAACTGGTCCTGTGCCCAATCTTACAGGCATGGACACCCTTATCTCCGTGTAAGTACTAAAATATGTATTAGTAGTTTTACCCGTTTCATGGGAAAAGAAGAAACAAGTCAACATACTCATACTTGTGGTTTATTATGTTTCAAAATTACTAGCTGATGTTTCACAAGTACTTGTTTTGTTCATATTTTGCCACATTTGGATGATTATTAAAACAACTTTCCATTTATGCCTGTTTCACAGTACTTTGCCACATGTGGATGACTATTATAGGCATCTAGCCAGTCTACTTAAGGACCATAAGGCGCATACTTAAAGTCTGCATACTCAAAAACTGTCTACGGACACCTGGGAAGTTTAAGCATTTATGCATAAACTGGTGCAGCTATCTAACATGTAGTCATGTACATACTATGTTTGAGAGGTGCTTCAAATATTCTTTTACTAAATCATTTGGTTAAGTTTTGGTTCAAATAAAACCTGCTAAATTTTCAATGTGAACGCGTTTTGTATTCAATCTTGAAAAGGTTTTATACATTTCAAATAGTGCACATGATAATCTTGAAAGCACCATATAAAAATTACTCACATGTTAAAGCATTTAAGTGATAATAGAGTCCTTTCTAGTTTCTATTCATTGACAATGAAGTCACCAATTTATCATTTAAATTCTCAGCTAGTGATTTTGAGACTTGGTATACGACGTCACCCCGGACAAAATATTGGGGTGGCCTATGTCACATGCAACGTTTACCTATTTGGAAATAAAATTCTGCCGTTTTCTCCTTGGTTTACAGTGCAATGTCTATATATGCAGGGATCTGAGCAACAATAGTTTTGCAGCTGCAACAGTTCCAAATTGGTTTTTATCCCTAAAGTCCCTGAGAACAGTGTATGCCCTTTTCTGAAGGATTTTCTAGTATATTAATCTGTTTCAATTAAATTGTTTCATCTAAATGTGTATAGATGCTAGTCTTTTCTATTAGTTTCCTATTTTGAATGTTTCTTTTTAATTTAATCTCCTACTATCCAATTTATTTTATTTTATTTTATTTTTTTTATACATAACTTCACAAATAATTTTATATGTCACCTTCAATCTTTCACTTTTTAATTTTTGCCCTCTTATTTTTAATTGCGATTCTTGTGGAAATTCAAATTAAAAGAAAAAATGGAGGGAGTTAATTTTAGATCTTTTCCAGATCCCCTTTTAATGGCGAAAGCCATATTGATGGACCTCATCGTGACTGGTAATACGATACGTATTTTACATACCCTAAAAAGAGTTGAACTTTCACTATTTAATCATCACACAAATATTTTAAATAAATCAGTGATTCTTAATGGTATTTGCCCAATTTCCTTCGCTTGCTTTTCTTAATAGAGATGATCTTTATTCTGTATAACATTTTACTTCAGAAAAATGGAACGAACAGGACTGGAAGGGCTGCTTCCACCCGAATTCTTAAGTGACCCTCTGCAAACTGTGTGAGTATTGGTTCAATTTTCTGTGATAAATAGCTAGGAAAATTATGCTTAACTTTTCATCCACGTATGCGGGATGATGATGACGCGACTATTTTTTTTCACAGCATCTTGAAGAACAATCGGCTTAGTGGGACTATAGATTTTGGTAGTAGCTCTAACCAGTTACTGGATCTCATTGATCTACAAAACAATTCCATCAGTAACGTCACATTGAAGCCTGGATCTAAATATACAATTATGTAAGCTTTTTTTAATGATTTCTTTTCTGCACGGGTATAATTCAAGGCTTTACTGAAATACACAATGTGCATAGAAATAACAGGGATTAGGTATGTAGAATTTCATAGATAAGATGAGACATTGAGCTTTAAGTTGTTGGCAAATTTGCATTCCTGCAACACTTTTTTTTTTTTTTTTTTTTTTTTTTTTTTTTTAATGCAACACTTTAATTAGTATGGAGTTTCATATAGTTGAGTTGAATTTGCTAACATATTATGTTTGAATTGTAGGGGAATTTAAAACTACAGTATGAAATATAGTAGGTTATTGAGTTAATGTTTATTCAAAATTAAAGGATGTGAGAAGAGAAATAATAACAAAAGTAGGAGACCATGTGAGGAGAGAGAGATTTGCATTTAAGTGTTGCATTCTTTAAAAAACGGTTGTTTTAGGGAAGAGTGGCATTATTAAAAAAACAGAGTATATACTTCACACTTGGTTCTACAATTCTCAATGCAGAAATGAATTTTTTTTTGCAGGCTTTCTGGTAATCCAATTTGTCAGAAAAGTTTGGTAGAATCAACTTACTGCAACAAACAGGAAATTGGTTCTTCGTACAGAACACCAATATTTTGTGTTCCTCCCAAATGTCCATCTGTCCAAATGTTTAGCCCCACTTGCAAATGTGCATATCCCTACACTGGACAATTTGTCCTTAGAGCCCCTTCTTTCTCAGCCTTCGGAAATGATAGTTACTTCACAACTCTCCAGCGTTCCCTTTTGCAGTTTTTTGTTAATAACTCACTTCCCGTGGAATCTGTGTCACTAATTAATCCAACTATGGATTCATTGGGTTACCTTACCATGCAGCTGGCATTCTTCCCAGCTAAGCAAGATCGTTTCAATAGAACAGCAGTGTCTTCACTTGCGTTTGCACTCAGCTATCAGACTTTCGCACCACCTAAGGATTTTAAACCCTATGTTTTTCTTGCAGACAATTACTTCCCATTTGAAGGTGATTCTATCATCTATTTTTGTACAAATAATTGGTTTTTTCAATATTTTTATCTCTATTATTCTTCGAAAAATTTTCTTATTCAAATATTTGTATCGACAGGAATAAAAAAAAATCCATCTCATATAGGAGCAATTGCTGGTGCTATTATAGGAGTTTCAATTCTACTGTTGCTACTAATTAGTGCTGCAGGCTATGCGTTTTATCAAAAGAAGAAATTAGAGAAGGCTAAGCAGCAGGCCAATCCATTTGGTAGGTTGCAACTTTTTCTTTTTTTTGACTGTAAGTTCAATCGTACAAAGCTTTATGATTTATGTTACCCATTGCAGTGTCGTGGGACTCACATGGAACTAGCGGTGATGTTCCCAATTTAAAAGGAGCCAGGTTTTTCACTTTTGAAGAACTTCAGAAATGTACCAACAATTTTTCTGAAGTCAACAACGTTGGTTCTGGAGGCTATGGGAAGGTTGGTTTTAGCGTTGGCAATAAATTATAAAAATTATAAAATAATGCTCCATGTATTTATATAATCACCTCCAATTTCTTATTTTATATTCTAGCTGAAAAATGTTTTTATTTTTGCCATCCTTCTTAATAGGCTCAGATTTCCATAAGAACTAGTATAGATTAAAATAAAACCCCTCCCCTTAAATTGGTTCATTACACCTAGCTTGTGACAGACTGATTATTTTGATGTTTGTAGGTTTACAGGGGAGTTCTTACTGATGGGCAGATTGTTGCTATTAAAAGATCTCAGCAAGGATCGATGCAGGGTAGTCGAGAGTTTAAAAATGAGATTGAGCTTTTATCAAGGGTCCATCATAAAAATCTTGTGAAACTCATAGGATTTTGCTTTGATCATGGAGAACAGATGCTGGTCTATGAATTCATTCCTAATGGTACACTATCTGATAGTCTTTCAGGTATATATCTTAGTCTATTGGCTTCCTGCAGAGTTGCAAGATAAATCGTTTGGCATTAATTACATTTTCCAAGCCATTAGTGCATAAAACATGGTATTAAGAATTTTACTCATCATATCGCTTGAGATTAGGCAAGGTTGCCAAACCTTAGGGAATGGTTGTACAGTCTTTTGTTGTTTTTGCTCTTTGTTTTGTTAATAGAAGATGCGACTCCATTCAAATTGAACCATAATCCTAGTGGATTAGGAAAATTTTCTTAACATATAGGAGTTGTAGATATTATACCTCTAGGACCTGAGCTTTATGTTGGCTCTATTGTGTTTGCTCGTGGTAGACATTTTCTATAAATGCATTGCTATGCTATTCAGTATTTTGATTTTAATTAAAGACCAATTAAGTTTTTTTAAAGTACATTTTAGACGACGGGAACCATTCTTATATTCACATTTGTTTTGCCATGAACACAACTTATCTACTGCGTGTATTGTTTACGTATCTCTGTGAACCAAGAAGTGTCCTAATTGCTGGGTTAGTTTGTGAATGATAAAATAGTAGACTTGGAATGATCTTAATCTCCACATAAATATTTCAACTGATCTGAACTATTCATTCAGGGAAATCTGGGATACAGTTGGACTGGATAAGACGACTGAAAATAGCCCTTGGCTCGGCCCGAGGTTTGCAGTATCTGCATGAGCTTGCTGATCCACCAATCATACACAGGGATATAAAGTCAACTAACATCTTGCTTGATGAGCGTCTAAACGCCAAAGTTGCTGACTTTGGCCTTTCCAGGCTGTTTGGTGACTCTGAAAAGGGTTATGTTACTACTCAAGTCAAAGGAACAATGGTTAGTTTTATCTTTGTTGCTATTTGATTCTTACTGTGTATACTTAGAAAGACCCACTCAGGCAATGATATGCACTGGCTATCTACGCCCTCTCAATTGCTAATTGTAATGTCCATTTATGCTAATTTCTTGCCTGCCAAAGTTAAAAGCACTCATTTTTTCCATGTTTGGTTGACATCCTCAAACTAACATTATATTTACTCACATTCTATACTACTGTTTGAGTATTACCAACTTCTATGATTATGATGTTTATACTTTCTACCATTTTTCTTACTTCTACCATTTTGACTGCTATGTTGTAACGCACAACTCATGATACATTATATAAATTCTCTTGTAGGGATACCTCGATCCTGAATATTTCATGACCAATCAGTTAACTGATAAAAGTGATATATTTGGTTTTGGTGTGGTTTTACTGGAAATGCTCACTGCCAGCAAACCAATACAACAAGGCAGATTCATTGTGAAAGTGATAAAAGAAACAGTAGACAAGACAAAAGATTTATATAACCTTGGTGAAGTAATGGACCCTGTGCTTCTTTCATCTTCAACAACGCTAGTTGGACTTGAAAAGTTTGTGGATTTGACATTGAAGTGTGTTGAAGAATTTGGAGTTGATAGGCCTTCGACAGGTGAAGTGGTGAAAGAACTCGAGATCATTATGCAGTTAGCAGGTATGAATCCAGATTCAGAATCTACGACAACCTCACAGAGTTATGAAGGTTCATCAACTGCAAAGAGTTTCAGCCATCCCTATTCTGATGATTCACTTGTTTGATATAGTTAACGTGTTCAAATTTACCAAGACTTTTTTTAAAGATCTTAATCTTGCAAATTTGTATATCATATGAACAACTACGTTTATAATGTATCCTTTGTGTAAAGGTGAAAACTTTGTTGATGTGAGTTAACCACAAATTATAAATCACGGAATGAGGTTTTTTAATTTCTTTAAATGTAATTGTTGTTGAAAGTGTTGCTTCCTAGCTTTTAAAAAGTATGAGATAACTCGTTAGCCGCCCTAGTTATTATTAACGTTTTGGCAGGATTGTTAAGAGCTTTGTACTTTTTATAATTATTCATTGGATGTTTGAGCAGCTTATTGAGGGATTCTAGTAAGCCATATTTTCATACTTTGTATTTGTTTTGTTCATCTATATTATACTAAACAACATTATTTCGATTGGGTCTTCTAAGCTTGACGTTGTTGATGAACCTATTGTTATTTTTTTCCTTTAGATATAACAAAGTTGGCGAATAATTGATATTAATATCATCAACTAAGCAATTTACGAGCAAAAATTTACCCATTGACAAATTTGATGGGGCATTGACTATGACAATTATAGCTAATTAATTGCTAACTATTGGTTTATTTTTCTTATAATAATGTTTAATGATGTATGTAGGTTGACTTAGAATCTATGTTCTGAATTAGTAAAACTGTTCTTGTTTTTAATTTAACACTTGCATAAGTTGCATAGTTGCATATGATGTGTAGTAGAATATTTTATGTTCCTAAATACAAAGTTATAGTGCTTATATTTATTCTGCAATGTGCAATTTGATGCTGTATAGTTTCATTCTGTCAATTGTATCAACTAAACTTGGAGCAATGAATCCTGTTATAGTATTTTGTCTGCTTTTTTTGAGCACTCGAATTTCAATCACAAAGTCGGACACAAATAGTAATGATGGTTAGTTTTTTCCCTTTTTTCTTTGGTTTACAGTAAAACATGTTAATAATGATTTACTGAGAAATTCATGTCTGAAACCGTGTTGCATGCAGTTACTGCTATAATGTCTTTGAAGGCACTCTGGCAAAATGTGCCACCATCTTGGAGTGGTTTTCCTGACCCATGTGGCCGTCGCTGGCAAGGAATTATATGCAATGGCTCCCGAGTTATTGCTATGTGAGAAACTTTACATAAAAAAGTTTTCTACAATATCTTTATCCCGTCTCCTGATCAAATTTTGTAAGTCTTTTTTTGTTCAGAACATTAGCAAGCATGAAGCTGGAAGGCAGACTTTCAGGTGATATCCAGGAATTAACCGAACTACAAATACTGTATGATTCTTAAATGAACTACGAATGAGATTTTGAGCTAAATAGCAACCACTTACAGTTTATGACTCTTTGTTTGTCTTTGTACTGTCCTTCAGTTTTCGGTCTTATAACTGATGTATTTTCGGTTCTCTGTTGCATACCCTACCTTTTTTTTTCAGAATATTGTGTACTAAACTACTACAATTGTCAATTGATTCTGAACCTTATTCTTGGCTAACTTGTCTGATTAAATAACTCATCAAACTGAGGGTTATCTGATTGTTTGTTTCTTTGATGTAGTGATTTGTCCTATAATAAAGGATTGTCAGGACCTCTCCCTTCAGCAATTGGGAAATTAACAAAGCTCACAAACCTGTAAGAATTTTTAATTCGCGACAAAAATAGCTCTAGGTAATTTAGAAGATATATAATCTGCTGTGAAACATTCACTTTACTCTTGTACATTAGGATCTTGGTTGGCTGCAATTTCAATGGACAACTTCCAGATACTATAGGCTCTCTGTCACAGCTGAGATTCTTGTAAGATTTTTTTATTTCTAAAAGTTTTGTTTAATTACATAGAATATTTTGCTTTTATGCTGTCTTGATATCTTAATATAGTATTTGATGGACTAAGCTTTGATTCTGAGTTTCTATTATGATTATGATGATGATACCCTCTTTTTGTCTATGGCTGTATCCTTCAGAGTTGGTATTTTTCTTCATCTACATGCTGTTGTTTCATGCAGATATATGAATTCTAATAGCTTCAGTGGGAGAATACCAAATTCAATCGGCAATCTTTCTAAACTCTATTGGCTGGATTTAGGTGAAAACAAGCTTACTGGAACTTTACCCGTTTCCAATGGGACTACACCTGGTTTGGACATGCTGGTCAATACTAAACATTTGTATGTTTGATAGCTTTGAGGTTCCATTGCCTTTTCACCCTTGAAATTGTTAGTAAATTTTCTTTTATTGATCGTTTGGGGAACTATTTGTTGATCAGCCACTTTGGAAGAAACCAACTCTCAGGTTCCATTCCACCTCAATTGCTTCACGAAAATATGACTATCCTTCATTTGTAAGTACTACTCGAGATTCTAAGATATGTGTCTGATGACTTTCTTCATCTACCCTCACTGATCATCCCAAATACTTCTTGATAGAATGAATGGTTTATCTGTAAGTTTTACTATGAGCCATGTTGAAGCAGGGTATCCTACGATTCGTGTCAAGTGATTAACAAATATTTTTGGCTGGCAGACTTTTGGATAACAATCAGCTTACTGGCAACATACCGTCAACACTAGGTCTAGTTAAAACATTGGAGGTGGTGTAAGCATCCTATCCTCCTCTTTAATTCCAAAGAATTTCATTTAGAAAAACAGGTGATTGGAAAGATAATGGTGTGTCTTTGCTTAGTAACCATGAAGTAATATGTTTATTTATTGACTTCGTTGTTCAACAGACGGCTTGATTGGAATTCTATCAGTGGGTCTGTCCCTTCAAACATTAGCAATCTTACTAGTGTTACTGATTTGTAAGTAAAACAAAAGCATGGACTCCCTTTCTGTGCAATATTAGTTTTTCTCCAAAAAGAGTAATATTTTTTGGGGATTTTAATTACTTTCAGGCTATTTTCTAACAACCAGTTGACAGGCCTTATGCCAAACCTTACTGGCATGAGCTCTCTGAATTACTTGTAAGTATGAAACTGTGCTGCTTTATACTTCAATGTTACATTACATTCTAAAAAATAATGTTCTGTGAATATTTTGTGTGCAGGGATATAAGCAATAATAGTTTTGAAGCCTCGGACTTCCCTTCATGGATCACTGCGTTGTCTTCGTTAACAGATTTGTATTAATTTTATCTCATTTATAACTGCTTCGCGTTTTTGTTTGAATTGGATGGTATTTACCCTTTTGTGTTTACTGAAAATCAAGCTTCTACTTAGGTTAACTCTGACACACCAATAATTCAGTTAAAAAGAAAATTAAAAACCTTCTGCAACAGAAAATTAGCTGCACTAATGCTCTCCTATGCCGTAGCTCAAATTTATCTCATTTAATTCTTATTGTTAAGTTCTTTATGGTTCCTTTTCTCAGAATAATGGAAGGAACTCAAATTCAAGGCATGGTTCTTGATACTTTATTCAGCCTTCCTCACTTGCAACAAGTGTAAGTACCATTGTCAGACTTTCAGTCCCTGACATGTTTTACGATAGAGCAATATTTGCAACTGGTATTCGATTATTGTTTTATCTTGCACTCAATGTGATGATACAAAAGAGAAGATCTAAATGTCATGACAGAAAATTTATGTACCTGGAACCAGATTTTTTTGGACATCAAGGGACAGGTTACTTACTATTTTTCCATGTTAATATAGCTTTTTGAAAAAGAACGGCCTAGATGGCAGGTTGGACATTGGTGAAGCTCACAGCACAGAACTTCGGATCATTGACATGCAAAACAACAACATTTCTGCTTACACTCATAGACCTGGAGATAATAGTTTCCAACTAATGTAAGCTTTGGAATCCAATGAGAGTCTCCAAGTAACTACTATGATTTCTTTGTTGGGGCTAAAATTTTCCTGTTCCCTAGAAGAAGCGGGAGGAGTTTGGGGGGGGGGGGTGGGTACAAACATCATACAAAGATTTGCATGCAAACAAGTAACCAATATGCAGAAAATTGTGTTGAATGCAATTAAATTTTCAAATAAGATACTCTTAATGAATAAGTATATTAGTCCCTTTCAATGAAGATACCCTCACAGATTTTCTTAACTTTTGCAGTCTTATTGAAAACCCAGTTTGTGATGAAACTACTGACCTGCAGAGTTACTGTGGAATCACTCAGGAGTCGAAACCCTCGTATACTACACCTCAGAACTGTGCCCGTGTTGCTTGTAATGCAAACGAATTTTCCAGCCCTAACTGTAAATGTGCTAATCCATACACAGGAAATTTTGTATTCAGAGCCCCACACTTTTCAAACTTGCAAAACTTCAGTTACTATACAGCTTTGGAGCAAAAACTAATGGATACTTTTAACTCTTATAAACTTCCTGTTGATTCAGTTTCCCTCAGTAATTTAAGTAGAGATACATCAAATTACCTTGGTATCACATTGCAAATATTTCCCCTAGATCAAGGCCGGTTTAATAGGACAGCCATTTCCATTTTAGGCTTTTTGCTTAGCAACCAGACATTCAAGCCACCTCCAATTTATGGAACATGCTATTTTACAGCTAATGAGTATACAATCTTTGCAGGTAAATACACATTTCTTTTCTTTATTTCACTAGCTATCTATTTCCTTCATAATATTCACCATTTTTCCAACTCTAGATGAACCTGCATCCAAACAAAAGAAGGCGCTCAGTATGGCTGCTATCATTGGAATTGCTGCTGTAGGATCCTCTAGTCTGCTAATATTACTGTGTGCTGGAATTACCATTTGTTACTGTCGGAAGAGACCTGCAAAATCTGAGGAGCCAACTTATCCCTTAGGTGATTTCTCATCTCGTCCATTCAACTTACTAGTTTTCGTTTTTAGCTAACCTTTGTAATCTATATCATTCTTCATTTTGTATTCTAGAGCCTAATATTAGCAGTTGCTTAGTGCTCAACGTCATGCATCTATTATAGTTTCTATAATAGATAGTAGCATGCCTAGCTTATTTCTGATTATATGAGCTTGTTGCTTAAAGTTGAAAATTTTGCTCATTTTGAAATTCCTGATCCTTAATTGAAAAATGCTTTGTGATCCGTGATATTTTCATGCATTGGTAAGGTATAAAACCTGTAAATATCCTAAAATATGCTAAGTAATTACTTACAAAACATATATATAGAGATTATATACCAGTCCAGCACATTTTTCCTTTGCAGATTATATCTTTTGGCTCTAGGATGCTCTGCGGCTCTGCCTTGCGGTGTTGATTCTTGGGTTAATTCTTGTATTAAAGGGTTCCATTATAAATATGACTCAAGTTTATATCGTATATTAGAGCCTTTTTTTTTTTTATTATTATTATCTATAAGTATCCCTCAAAAATTTATTGATTTTGGGCCTTTTGGCATCTGATAATTTTCCACTTTTCCTTACGCGGATCAAGACACCACTTTAGCTGCCCAAATGAAAGACTTCGACACTTTTTAGGACTGCCTTCTTTGGGAATCAGTTACAAGAGAAAAGTGAATATCATTTGTTCAAACTATTGTAATGTTCTGAAACTGATTTATAACTTCTAGGTATTACACCAGTCTCACCTTGGACATCACCTGGAATCAACACTAGCCCATTACAACTGTCAGGATCGAGGTTGTTTACACTGGATGAGGTAAAAAAGATCACTGATAATTTTGCAGCAGCAAATGACATTGGGTCAGGAGCCTTTGGGAAGGTAAATTACAACTATGTAATAGTAATTAATTTACACCAATTCTGAATGTTACTCTCCCTCTGTCCCATTAAGAATTTATATATTTAACATACCATTTGTACCTGACATCTAAACCTTTACAAAGTAATCACAATGCGGTGATGCAGCCTTGATTTAATACCATGATATGAATGAGTGATTTCAGGCCATCATATGATCTTATTCTATAGAAAAATATGCACAAATTATGGGATTTCTGTTGGACTTTAACACCTTAAAAAAAATATAGATATTATGATATATGTAGGCACAATATTTAATTGACTTGGTTTTCATTTTATTTTATTTAATTTATGGTACACAATGTATATATATAGGTATATAGAGGGATGCTTGTAGATGGACAGCTAGTTGCAGTAAAAAGAGCAAATCATGAATCAAGGCATGGTGGTAATCAATTCAGAGCTGAAATAGAGCTTCTGACGCGAGTTCATCATACAAACCTTGTCAGGCTGTTGGGTTTCTGTATAGAAAAAGGAGAGCTAATACTAGTCTATGAGTATGTTCCAAATGGCAACTTGAAAGAGAGTTTATCAGGTACTTAAATCTAGTGCACCATTTTTCTCTGTGCTCTACAATTTCTGCAAATTGTTTGCCATTTTTTGTTGAATTGTTCTTGCTTTAATATTTTCGTGTAAGACGGAAATACAAACATGACAGTATGCAAATATTACTTTTATTTTCAGTACATATAGTCTCTATTTGCATCTTCTGAAACACAATTTCATACCCTCAGGGGTTTCAATTTTCAAATATCGAATTTCAATCTCAATTAACACCTTTTAACAAAGGCCTATCTAAATAAATTTCATCAAAAATTTATTTTTGTTGTGAGGGTTGTAAGAGAGAAATTGGAGGAATTGCCTGCCTGCAGACACATCTGACGATTTTGCTTTCCTTTAATTTGGCTCTTGATAGTTTTGTGTGTACACTTTATGATGCAGGAAAGTCGGGAGTACGACTAGACTGGAAGAGGAGAATCAAGGTAGCTCTTGGTACAGCAAGGGGTTTATCTTACTTGCATCAACTAGCCAACCCGCCAATTGTACACAGAGACATCAAGTCAAACAACATCCTTCTTGATGAAAACTTGAATGCAAAAGTTTCTGATTTTGGTCTGTCAAAACCTCTGATTGATGTTGGAAAGAGTCACATCACCACTGAAGTGAAAGGGACAATGGTACGTATACACCCTATGAATTTGTCGTCGCTAGTTGAGTTTATTATAGGGGTTGACATGATAAGCCAATAAAGCCAATCTACTTATTAAATAAAAATATAAAGCCACTAAGAAATACAATGTCTAGCAAGTTTGAAGGTTTATATAATGTGCAGGGATACTTGGATCCTGAATATTACTATACCCAAAAGCTGAACGAGAAGAGTGATGTATACAGTTTTGGAGTACTAATGCTCGAGGTGATAACAGGAAAATCACCACTAGTTAGAGGAAAATACGTAGTAAGTGAAGTAAAGAATGTCATTGACAGAACACAGGATCTATACGGTCTTCATGAAGTTCTCGACTCAGGTATTATATTCAGCACTTCACTGAAAGGCATTGAAAAGTACGTCGATTTGGCACTGAGGTGTGTGGAAGAATCGGGTACTAATCGCCCTGACATGGGAGAGGTGGTGAAACAGCTTGAGGACATATTAGAGATGGCTGGTTTGAATCCTTACATTGATTCAGGAGGAAGTTCAGGGACATTTGATCAGCGGAATGTTCGACATTTTTATAGGGATGAATCCTTGTACAGTCATAATGGAGCACTCCCACGTTGAGTTGAAGTTCTCTGTATTGGGAGCTTTTCATTAGAGTTTATATTGTTGTTTGTGTTAAGATAATATGTTTAAAACAGTAATATTTAATTATTTGTTAATAATCATTGAACATCATATTGTAATAAATCAAAATATAATAGACACTACAATACATTGGATATTACTAGAACTAGGGGTGTCAATTCGGATGTCTCGATTGAGTTTGGTGAGGCTGGGTCAATTTTTAAGATAGAGTTATGCTAAATTATTTTTATGTCCATGTGAGTCGAAATCTGAATCAAATATTTTTCGAGTCGGTTTTGAATTGGGTCGGGTTGGGTGTGGCTTTGACACCTCTAACTAGAACTAGGAAGTTGATAGCTTGGCATATTGTAATCACACCATAACCAAACCGGAACGGATACTGAAATCAAAGATTTTTGTGGATTTCCCTAAAAGGCTGGAAATACGATTTAATTTAGTCATCTGCGAGTAGTTTGTTGGACAATTTTAGATTATTTGGGCTAACTGTTGCTTGAAATTTCTTACTCCGTTCTTTTTAATTGCACATGTTTTACTCTTGTCAATAAAGTTGCCAATGCAAACCTTTGAACATTTATATCTTTAATTTGGTTTTAGTAAAATACTCAGTATTACTAAATTATTATTATTTTTTTTGATATTTTAAAAGTATAATGGAAGACAAATCTAATAAAACCCCGACATAACTATTTTTTTTTACGTATAAATCATAGATGGTTAAAGAGTGACATGTGAATAGAAGTTCAAATGGTGTGATTAAAAAAGTAGAGGAAGTATTTTTTTTTTTTATTGAGTATCGCGTGGGATTAAAATGGGAACTGTGTCATATTATGGGACGGAGAGAGTATTTTTAGATGGTATTATATTATGTTTAGATGGTATCATCTAAATACCAACAAGGATATATATCGATGCCAACTAAACATTTTACATTCGTTGGTACCACCAAAAAAGTATTTTGATATCATGATAATACCATTTAAAGTATAATTTAATACCAACACGTGTTATTAGAGACATTCATGACTCATATTGTTATAGATTAAGAATTCCTCATATTTTTTTTACCAAATTGTGGATAGAGGTCATTTTATTTTACCAATCTGGTCATTGGGAATCCGTGCACAAACACAACATATGTGGTCAATCAAGTATCTCTAATGTCAAGTTAATGTCAATGTAAAATGAAGTTAGGGCAAGTTTAAAACCACATTAGAAAGTACTGCCTCTAATAATTTGACTCGTAAATGACTCTAATAATACGACATTAGTATTACATTATGTTTAGATGGTATCATCTAAATACCAACAAGGAAATATATCGATACCAACTACACATTTTTGCATTCGTTGATACCACTGAAAAAGTATTTTGGTATCATGATAATACCTAGTACAATCAAAACGGATTGACAGTTCGGTTTCGGTTCGGTTTGAAATCGGTTCGGTTTGAAAACGGGTAGTTTTCAAACCGGGTCAAGTGTCTTACGGGCCGGTTTCAGTTCGGTTTAAATTATTATCAGTTTGGTTCGGTTTCAGTTTATTCTTGAGCGGTTTTAATTCAGTTCGGAATGTAAATGGTTTAGTGCAGACGGGTTGCGGTTTGTTAACAGTTCGGTGTAAACGGTTTTGGGTTGGAAATGGTTCTGGGTTAGAAACGATTCGGTTTTATTTCATTTCGGTTTAGAACTGGTTCGGTTCTTATACGATTTAATATTGTTCGGATCGGTTCGGTTTTGGGTTTACTAAAATACGGTTCGAGTCGTTTTTTTGTTTTAAAAAATCGGTTGGTTTCTCATTTGGGTCAATTGGTTTCGGGCAGTTAAACGGTTTTGATTTGAAATTTGACTTTATTATAATTGATAAATTGATTAATAATATTCTTTTTTAATTTTGTATTGATTTTAATTTGTTTTTGAAAGATCAAAGGATGCAATCAACTCATTCTAAAAATTTTAAGAATTGCAATAATACATCATAAAAATTTGAGTAGGCAAATTTTGGTCCAATATAATTTTGAGCAAAATATGAAGCACTTTGATGATGTCATTTAAAGAGAAGACAAATATTTTTGCTAATCCATAATTACATAAAAAAAAGTCAAGGAAATCAATAATGTAATCTTAGTAAACATGTGCGCATAATTAGATTTCATTAAAAATTCCTTTAACGTGATTTTTATCTTCCCTTTATAGTATGTGGTTTGTAAACAGTTCGATTTATAAGCGGTTCGGTTTATAAACAGTTTGGTATATAAATGGTTCGGTTTGTAAGTGGTTCGGTTTATAAACGGTTTGGTTTGTAAACCGTTTGGTGCAAACGGGTTGTAGTTAGTTAACGGTTCGGTGTAAACGGTTTTTATCCCGATTCAAACTATTTCAGGTTAGAAATGGTTCGATTCTTTTTCGGTTCAATTTCATTTCAGTTCGGTTTAGAACTGGTTCGGTTCATTAACGGGTTCGATTCTTTTACAGTTTAACATTATTCGGATCGGTTCAGTATCGGGTTTACTAAAATATGGTTTGGGTCGTTTTTCGGTTTCAAAAAATCGGTTTTTAACGGTTCGGTTCTCATTTGGGTCGGTTGGTTTTGTGTAGCTAAACGGTTTCGATTGAAATTTTACAGTGCTAATAATTCCATCTAAAGTATAATTTAATATATGTGTGTTATTAGAGTCATTCATGACTCATATCTATTAACTAATACTAAAACAAAGCATGCTAACATCATTCCTTCCCCAAATTATACACATGTGATAAGTGTCATTTATGACACATTTTAGGGTGTTTTTCTCCCTTAGTTTTAGGTTTATTTTGGTCATTCTTGGTTATTTCTAGTCCTTTAGTCTTGTTTTAGTTAATATTGTCTTAGTTTATGTTTTTAGGCCTTAGTTGTGAATAATGTGCTTTTTGCTCAGTTTCTAGCTTGATTTGCGTGTTTTTCTATGTGATCTTTCACTCTTTTCTCTCTTGTTTATTTTTCTAGGTACTTGGCACTTTCCTCGATGTTTACGACCCGAGTGAAGGCCGAAAAGTTCAATAAAAATAGCATTGAAGCTAAGAAGAAGCTAAGAAGTTGAGCAATTGCAGCGCTTAAGGCTAGAACCCCCTGAGCATCCCTCCAAGTGGCAGCAAGCAGCAGCATAAGTGGTAGCAAGCAGCACAGGCCACTGCGGGCGCGGCTGTTGCGTGTTTCCAGTATTGACTAGCTTCCTGTAGATGCTCCGGAGATGCCCCACCGCAGGCGCGGCCTTGTTGAGCGCGGGCGCGGTGTTCTGGGTTCTCTTCGCGCTTAATCTCTGATTTTTCTCCTTTTTCTTCTTGTAATATAAATAGGGTACGGCCCTATTTTGTAACGGGGAAGACTTTCTTTAGAAGATTTTTGCACTTTCTCTCTCCTCTAATTAGGATTAGGCTTAGATTAGGAGTTTCTCTCTCAAGTTTAGGAGTAGTTTTAGAGAGAGAAAGCTTGAGATTTCAATGAAGATTTGAGAGCTTGAAGAAGCTTGTATGTGGATTCTCTTCTCAATTATTCAATGAGCTTTTCTAACTTTCTCTCACCTTTATTGCTTTCTTTAATTATTATTTTTGGCTTGTTTCTTTGTTGATTAGAGTAGATAATTAGATTACTTCTTTGACTCTTGCTTTAATTCTTGTTTTACCTTGATTTCCATGTTTTTCTTCATTATGATTGCTTAGATTTTGTCCTAGGGAAATGGATGAAGGTTATGGTTAATGAATTGAATGATTGATTGTGATTAGTATGCAATTGATTCTTGATTATTGTGTATCGATGATGCTTACACTGCTTTGAGTCTTTTAGCTAATTAATTCTAGGTTTTTAATTGTGCTTTTAATCAATTGTGCGGAATTGAGTTGATTGATAGTCTAGATCTTTCCATACCTATGCTACGCTAGTTGCGCCGGAGTGAATTAGCTTAGTAGGATAATTAACATGCTTAATTGTGCGGGAGTGAGTTGAGTGTGTTAATCGTTCCTAATTGAGTTCATGATCATCTAATTGCAATTTATTGTTGAATTCATTAATGTAATTGGACTCCACTTTCCCTAATTTTTTGTTGACCGTTTAAAGTAGTGTTTTAGTTGTTCCTCTCTCTACCTCACATCCTTCCTACTAGTTTAATTAGCTCAAATTAATACACTTAGTTCTTGTGGTTCGACCTTAGCTTGCCACTATCTTGTGTAAACTTGGTAGAGTAAGATTAGGAATATAAATTGTTGATTTGATGTAGACCACGACCTATTATCCGGCGATCAACATGTCACTCTTACATAAATTTTTTTCCCGCCAATTTGCTATGACGATGTCATCATTTTTTTTAATCTAATAAACCTTTCATATACTTTACCCTTTGTCCCTACCAAATCTTTTTTTTTTTTTTTTTTTTTTTTTTTACAAGTATGTTAATATTTCAATGTTCAAAAGTGTTCATTGTGATTTATTTTATATTTTATACTTTACAAGTAATATGCTACAGTATAAATTATTTACCATGTATACAAAAAAAAATTTAAGGAGTATAAAACTTTCTTTCTCCGTATTATAAATAAATCTCACAATATGTTTGATTAAAATCGTGCATTGCACGGGAAATAAACTAGTAGTCATATTATTATAGGATAAGAATTCCTCATATTTTTTTTACCAAATTGTGGATAAACATTTTGTTTTACTAGTCTGGTCATTGGGAGTCCGTGCACAAACACAACATATGTGGTCTATGTTAAATAAAGTATCTCTGATGCCAAGTTAATGTCAATGTAAAATGAAGTTATTGTAACACCCCCAAATCTCCCTCTACCGAAATATTAGTATTATACGTATAATTATATCGTAGAGATAACTTAGGCGTATTACCGCCGCGTGATTACGCGAGGCTACTCAAAACTACTAAACAAAACCAAAACTTTGCAGCGGAAACTTAAACTCTTTCTTTGTTAATACTTATAAAAATAGTAACAATTGTTTGAGTACTAAAAATAAAGACAAAAACCAACATTCCCTAATCTAGGTGAAGCAAATACCAGAACTCCCAAATGCTCATTCATGACTCCACCTGAAAATAGCTAACACTACTTACCATTAAGGTAAATAGGGCGAAACAAAACAAATAGGAAAATACGGATTAACAAAATATGCTAAGTACGATAAATTCAATATAGTGTAAACTCAATTTAGTAGCAAACATGCTTTTAAAACCAATCATGAAATTCCAATATTTATTTCAATAATTCCAAACCTCATAATTCAAAATCAATTCTCAAGATTCTCAAAATACTTCCAATAAATCCAATCCTCAAAATTCAATAAATATCAATATAGTTTTCAAAGCTTTGAAAATCCATTCCTTTAATTTATTCCAATTTCCTCTCCTAAGTGTGCACACCCCCCAAGTTAGTATCTTTATATTGAAAGGTTATCCTTGAGGAAAGACTAGGTCATACAAAGTCCATAATCTTATCAACCAAATCCGCATAGTGGGATTACATAAAAATGCTTGTAAAGCGTTAATGATAATTCAATAATTCTTATGAAATTC